TTGATCAAGTCAGGGGTTCCAAACAGCTGAGCAACTGAGCGAACCGTCTTACTATAAATAGAAAGAAATTAATTGGCCAACTGATATGTATATAAAATTAGCCGGGCATGGTGGGCATGCCTGTAGTCCCAGCTATCGGGAGGTGAGGCAGAGGATCTCTAGCCCAGGAGTTTGAGGTGCTGTGAGCTAGGCTGATGCCACGGCATCACTCTAGCCTGGACAACAAAGGAGACTCCTGTCTCAAAAAAAAAAAAACTATCACTAAAAAAATAAATAAAACATAGCAAGCCATAGTAATCTCTTTACCTAAGAACTGAAACACCTACCTCAGGACCTGCAACTAGAGACAAAGAAAAGATCACGAAGGAGATAGAAATCGTCTCTCTAATAAAGAGCACAAACACAATCTACATGCAGTCAAAATCATTTTGGCTGTTAAAAAGCTCTTAATCAAAGGGAATGTGAAATCATTTCAGTAGTCAAACCTTCATTAAGGTCCAAGGACTGTATTCTTACCCCAAGAGACCAAGTCCCTGTGGTTCTCCAGGATCACATCTCTGTCCAGGGTCCTCTGAGCAGGATTCCAAGAGCCCTGTTCCTCCTGAGTGAAGTCCACAGTCACAATTTTGAAGTTCACTCCCTCCTAAAACAGGACACACATTCCTGCTCAGCTGGGCATCATTTATTTCTAATGTTCATGGAGGAAGAAAAGTTTGACAGATGAAAGAAGAAAAACCTGATGACCTGGGAGTTGCCCTGAGATTGTCAGTGTCCAAAGGATTCTAGTCAAAGTGTACAGGTACCTTCCAGGTGAGCACCTTTGGGTTTTGGATGCTGGACCTGTTTTCACAACCCCCCAAAATGAATACTAGATAAGAACTGATATAAATTATTTTCCCTCTTATATGAATTATTTTCTCTTTTCCACATTGAAGAAAATGCTTCTTCTGATTTTTGTACTGGTGAATATAGAATTCCCACTTAGGGATTTCCTCCAAATTCCCAAGAAACTAACAGAACAGAGTGGTCAAGTTTTTTCTGTCAAAGGCCAGAGAGTAAATATTTTAAGCATTGCAGGACATGCAGTCTCTATCACAACTACTCAACTCTGCTGCTGTAGCAAGAAATTAGCCACAGAAAATATATATTAAGAAACAAATGGGTGTAGCTATGTTATAATAAACCTCTATTTACAAAAACAGGCAGTGGGACAAATTTGGCCTGCAAGGCTGTACTTTGCTAATGCCTGAGATATAAAATAAAACATGGGCCTTGATGAAAAGCAGTAGGTATAGGTGAAGAGCAGTGGAAGTAGAAGAAAAAACACTTGGGTTTTCTCACCTATAAAGGGCATATATCTGGATTAACAAAAGATATCTAATCTGACAATCTCTCTTTTAATGATGAGCTTATTCCATTTCAATTTATTAGGCCTAACCATACTCACCTCATTGGATTGCTGAGTGAATTAATTGTGACGATCTATGAAAAGCCATTAGCAGGGTTTACTGATCAAGTAATAAAGGCTGGCAAGTATAGGTTGAATATCCTTATGCAAAATGCTTGGGACCAGAAGTATTTCAGATTTCAGATTCATATTTGCATACACATACTGAGATATCTTGGAGATGGGACCCAAGTCTAAACACAAAATTAATTCATGTTCCATATATATATAGCCCAACGGTATAATAATTTTGGCCTTTAGGAACCATGAAGATTGAAAAAGCTCAAGCTCGAGAAGTTGTATAATACCTTTTCTACGCTTTACAAATTAAAGTTAGTCTGCGCTGGGGAATAAAGAGCACAAACACAATCTACATGCAGTCAAAATCATTCTGGCTGCTAAAGAGCTCTTAATCAAAGGGAATGTGAAATCATTTCACATTTTGTGTGTGAAAGTTTTGACTGCATTTTGACTGTGACCTGTCACATGAAGTATAGACTTTTCCACTTGTGGGTCATGTCAGCCCACCGACAGTTGCAAATTTTGGAGCATTTTGGATTTTGGGATTGGGGTGCTCAATCTGTACTATTAGGATTATTTGGTCTGAGAACCCTAAAAGATTAACTGACAGCCCAAGTGACCTTTATCCCTAACCCTTAGACTTTAGAAGACAGTTCTATTTCTGTCCCCACCCACAGCTGCATGGTAGAGCCTTTTAGAACACATTCACTGACATTATTGCCATATTAATGGGGTCTCCTGGGCTGCCTCCTCTGAGCAGGAAAGGGCGTACCCCCAAAACTTATGGACAGGAATTTTTTTTTTTCTTTTGAGACAGAGTCTCGCTTTGTTGCCCAGGCTAAAGTGAGTGCCCTGGCGTCAGCCTAGCTCACAGCAACCTTCAACTCCTGGGCTCAAGCAATCCTTCTGTCTCAGCCTCCTGAGTAGTTGGGACTACAGGCCTGCGCCACCATGCCCGGCTAATTTTTTCTATATATATTAGTTGCTCAATTAATTTCTTTCTATTTATAGTAGAGACGGGGTCTCAATCTTGCTCAGGCTGGTTTCGAACTCCTGACCTTGAGCAATCTGCCTGCCTCGGCCTCCCAGAGTGCTTAGGATTACAGGCGTGAGCCACCACGCCCGGCCTGGACAGGAATTTTGATCCAAAACAGAAGTGCTAAGTGTAATCTGCCCTTACCCAGAAGCAGCAAAGGCCTGGGAAGCTGAATGGCTCTTTAAATAGACCAGGTGTTCCTAAGCTGTAGTTCATGAATAGGATACAGAGTCCCAAATCCCATGAAACCACATGTAAAATGCTGCAATATATGCCCTCTCTTAAGTTAGGACCCAAAAATTTCACCAAAAGGTTTTTTTGTTGTTGTTTTAAAGATTTTCTTTCTCTTCTTTTTTTCTTTTTTGAGAAAGAGTCTCACTCTGTTGCCTGGGCTAGAGAGCCATGGCATCAGCCTAGCTCACAGCAACCTCGAACTCCTGGGCTCAACGATCCTCCTGCCTCAGCCCCCCAGGTAGTGAGGACTACAGGCATGCACCACCATGCCTGGCTAATTTTCTATTTTTAGTAGAGATGGGGTCTCGCTCTTGCTCAGGCTGGTCTCGAACTCCTAAGTTCTAACGATCCACCCGCCTCGGCCTCCTATAGTGCTAGGATTACAGGTGTGAGCCACCACGCCTGGCCTCACCAAAAGGTTTTTATGATTAGCCCAAAATGGAATTCAGAAATTTAATTTGTACCTGGTCCAAGTGCAGTAGTGTTTTCAACTAATCACAACCATTTACAGATTCCTTTGTTCCTTCTCCAATCCTACTGCTTCACTTGACTAGCCTAAAAATAAGTAATTTTTTTTCAAAAGGAAATTATAATTTGCAAACAGCCACCTGTGTTGAACATTAATGTTTAAGGTACTGTTTTTTCAACTTTTAATGCTTCCTTTCATTAAATACTCCCCTTTGCTATTTAATGTAGGTCCCTTTACTATTAAGCTTGTTCAAATGCCAAATAAATAATACTAAACTACATTAGCATCTCCTACTCCACCCCCGACTATATATTCTCAATGCTCCATGGACTTCTATCATCACATTTTCTTATCATTTGCATAAAAGTCATCTGTGTCACTAAACCATGATCCATGAGGGTAGGAACAACGAATTTGTAGTTTGCAACTATAACTCCAGTGCTTAGCATAGTGTTGATGTATGGTAGATATTAAATTTATATTTGGTAAATTATTTCAGTAAATGAATCAGTAGTATCAATAGACTTTCTAATATATCAAAATATCCCTGGCCCAAATTCTGATTTAAGTCTTCTTCTCTCACCTGAATCTCACAAGGTATACTCATTTGAAAAAGTCCTTCAACATGCAGGTGCTGGCTTTTCTGGACTTCTATCCCACTTATTCTATTCTTCCTCTCACCTGTCCCAAATTCCCTACTCTTCAAAACTTCCCAAACTCTTGGAATTCATCTTCTATCATAATGAAATTCTACAGCTTCAAAAATCTTTCACCAAACATTCCCTATACATCCCTGTGTCAATGGGGACCACACTTCCCCGTGGGGACCTCCCTCCTTCACACTCCTCACAGGCTAACGATGCTCATGCTCTCCCACCCCAGGAATCTCAGCAAAGGGTGAGGCTGCATCCTCCTAGCTACACTGAAACTCATGTCATTTACCTCTCTTTTTGGAACTTTGTCCTAACCAACCTCCTGAACACCACCACCCTCATCCACTAAAGACTCACACCTGGGATTTATACTCTAATACAAAAACATGTATTGTCTCATCTCCCATTGTCTATGGCATCTGCTTATAGAGTCACTCAATAACAATATAAAAATAACTGACTTTAAGGAAGGACTTAAGAACTTTCATGAAGCACCAGTGTGGCATCAGGCAGTGTGTGAACAGTCACATGGATGATCATTCGACTCCTGTGAAAAAATACTATTAGCAGCACCATTTTTCATATGAAGAACAGGAAAGTTAGAGACTAAGACAGACATTAGCCTAAGGTTGGTATTAATTAGCAGGGATGCAACCTCAAGTTTGCACATCAGAGACTGTGTTCTCAGTCATCAATTCATATGGGTAGCCCAACTCGCACATTCTGGAGCTGCTCTTCAACAGCCCACTGTTAGGGTGACCCCCAGACCCTGAAATCACCATAAAGTACTCCACCTTTAGAATCACGCATATGACACTGCCCCCTCTCTGATTACAACATCAGCTTGCTCCAGTGCACTGGCTCAATTTCTCCCTTTACTCTTCTTGTTCTTCTACGGTTTGGGGCATTATGCTATTAAAATATCTATTATTACTACCTATCGATCTATATTCTTTTCCTTTCTATAATATTTAGTGGCCCCTTTATAATTTCTATCTTAATTACTCAGTTTAGATCCCATAGATCATTCATTCTAATCTTTCTATTTGACATACTTTAAAATTTTCTTACAAATATTCCCTCAACCTACAGAGCTTCCACTCCATAGGAAAAGGACCTGGCACATTACAAAAAGTAAACGAATGCAAAGTCAATCTGCTGTCTATGGAAAGTGAGTTAAAAAATGGCACTGGGGGGAAAAACCACAGAAGCAGCTGCATAGAGCACTATACATTAATGACCACTATTTCCAAATGATCCTTTCAGGCTAACGAGCAAACCTATTATACCAACTACGGCAGCTTGTTCTCTCATGATCCAAAATTACTATTAATATTTCAAGCTGGCCGGGCGTGGTGGCTCACACCTGTAATCTTAGCACTCTGGGAGGCCGAGGCGGGCGGATTGCTCGAGGTCAGGAGTTTGAAACCAGCCTGAGCAAGAGCGAGACCCCGTCTCTACTATAAATAGAAAGAAATTAATTGGCCAACTGATATGTATATAAAAAATTAGCCGGGCATGGTGGCGCATGCCTGTAGTCCCAGCTACTCGGGAGGCTGAGGCAGAAGGATCACTCAAGCCCAGGAGTTTGAGGTTGCTGTGAGCTAGGCTGATGCCACGGCACTCACTCTAGCCTGGACAACAAAGCGAGACTCTGTCTCAAAAAAAAAAAAAAAAACTATCACTAAAAAAATAAACATAAAACATAGCAAGCAGTAGTAATTCTTTACCCTAAAGAACTTGAAACAACCTTACCTCAGGCAACTGCAACTGAGACAAAAGC